CCGGCTTTGTAGGGATGCGAGGTCAATGGTCTAACGACTACGGCATGCACGACTATGAGTACAACCCCCCTCCCTGCCTACTCTGCTGTGTTGGGTACCTTGATCTCGCATTTTATTGCTGTTTCTTTTGTTTTTCGTACATCTGGCTGTCTGCACATTTGCCGCCTCTTTGTCATGTTTGCTCCGTAACTCCCATGCCCTGGTGCGTAGTGCCTGGTGCTGGTACGTTACGTTACCCTTTGATTTTTTCTTTAGGCGGGTGTGGGAAGCGTCCTCCTTTGTTTTTGTTTTTGTTTTATTTTGATCGGTTTCCGAGGGCTCATTTCTCGAACGGTCGGTGCGGTACCTGATATTTCCTTTTCATCAGTTTGTTTTCTTTTTCCGAGTGGTTTGTACCCTATTCTTGTATTGTTTCCTCGCGGCGTCGTATGTGCCGGGTTTTGAGACCACGGGCTCCCCATGTTCTGTGGTCAACGGAGCAAATGTGAGAAACAACAACAACAACAACAACACCGAAACTCGAACCATGCCAACAACATACGCGGGCGCATTTTACGCTGTGACTGCACGCGAGAGCAGGCCCTTCCCACAAGCCAAAACACCCGAGAGCATCAAACATCCTGCCCTTGTACACCTGCAGTAGTTTCCCCGACCCCAACCCCCAACTCACCCTCAACAATGACACCACCCCGTGGAGTGTCGCCGACGCTGCCTCTCGCTCGTTCCCGGACAGCTCTAGCTGCAGCGCCACCGCTGCCCAACACCCGGCCCCTCTCAGCCTCATCAGGGCGCCCCCCGCGTCGTGCCAGCCCCAAACAATCGGCAGGACTCGCAGGAGGCGCCGGCGGGCCTTGGTAGGAAGGCCGCCTTCTTCTTCTGTTCCCACGCCGCCGGGTCCTTCGCCACCGCCACCGCCACCGCTGCCGCCGCCGCCGCCGCCTGTTAGCCCTCCGCTCTCGTTGGCCAAGATATCGCATAGCGAGGATGTCGCCCGTGCCCATTCTAGACGGCGGCGCGGTCTCGGCTCTCCCAGGCCCGCCGCCGCCGCCGCCGCCGGAGGAGAGCCGGCGGTGACGCACCCCGCGCGCAACCAGGCGCGTCTGTTACCCTCGCCCGGCGGGGGGCTCCGTCCGCTCAGCTCGCACAAGGCCTGGACAAGGACCTCGAACGCCTCGGCGGCAGCAGGACCAGACGGAGGAGGGGGAAAAATGCAGCTGCTGCTCTCGCAGTCCGCGTCGGCGGCGGTGGCGGCGGCGGCGGTTTCGCTTCGTCTTCCCGCGGCGGGGTCGGAGGGCGGCACGGAGGCGAGGACGCCCTCCTTGCACCACTGGGCCAGCTTGGAAACGAGGGCGTCCAGCTCTTCCGCCGAGAGTGCGGGGACGATGGGGCCGAGGTGGCTGCGTACGCGAGCGATCGCTGCTTCGCCGGCACGGGGCCGCGCAGCACGACCCGCACCCACCACCGGCTCCGGCTCCTCCTCTCCCACGGCCGCCGCCCCCTCCCCCCCATCCCCGAGCAGCGTGCTTCTGCTCGACAAGAGCAGTCGCAGCTTCAACCCAGGCTCCAGCGCGGCGAACAGCGAGCCTCCGCCGGCCTGGATGGTCTCCCGCGCCGCCGCTCCCGTCTCGTCGCCGCAGAGGGTGTCCACGGCACGTGGCCCGAGCCTCGGCGGCCACGAAGACTCTGCAAGGACACGTAGCACCTTCGGCAACGCCTCGGCCCCACCTACTCCTACTCCTCGGGCGACACCGGCCATGACGGCGAGGTCGGCCTCGCCGTGCTCGTGCAGCAGCGTCGCCGCCAGCACCGGGTCGTAGTCGCGGGACTCCAGCAGGTAGCGCTCCAGCTGCTTGGCCGAGGGCTGGGCCAGCGCCGCCGCCGCCGCCGCCGCCGGGCTATCGTCGTCCGCGGCACCACTCGACGTCGTGCTCGAAGCCGCTTCTTCGTGCTTGTTCGACGCCGGGCGGGCGGACGAAGGCCGCCCCACCTTGGGGTCTCGCCGGATAGCGGAGCGCACCCCCCGCGCCCCCGCGGTCACGGACGCCCTCCTTGTTTTACTTTTCTCGTTTTCGAAGGCACGAGCGCTGCTACCGGTGACGTCAGCACCGCTGCCGGGAACAGCTCCTGCTTCCTCTTCTGCACCTCCGCGTTTCGGCGCGCGGTCTGCGGGCGCCAGGCGAGAGCCGGCGGCGCTGCTGGCTTGCCGCACATGGAGCACGACCAGCCACTCCAGAAGCGTGTTGGCCAGCTCCTCTCGAACCATGCGCGTCGTCACTCCGCCTCCGCCGCTGCCCCCGCCCCCCCCGCGGGCCGGCGTTACCGCCGTCGACGTTTCATTCTTCTCGTCCAGGGCCTCGATCGCTACTCTCGCCGCCTCGGACACCCGCCCGGCAGCGTGCAGCTCGCGCGCGCGGCGCACGGCCGCCGGCGACGGCCGCCGAAGCGCGATAGCACCGGTCGTCGTCCCCGTTGCCGCTTCCACGTGCCGGGGCGGGACGGGGAGTCGCGGCCGGCGGCTGGCGGCGGCAGCCGGCTGGGGGGGAGCCGCCGCCTCCGCTCCTACGCCGAGGTCGACACGGTAAACGGAGCAGTCGCTCCACACCAAGCCCCACGACCCTGCGGGTACGGTAGCGCCCGGACACGAAGAGCCGTTGCTATCGCGGCCGCCGCTAGCTCTTGTCGTCTGGCCGCCGCCTGCACGGGGCAGAAGCGCGACGCCGCTCACGCGCTCCCCGGCGGGCAGGGGAAATACGCAGACGGGTTGGTGGTTGTGGTGGTGAGCCGCCGACTGATCCGCCCCCCCCAGAGGCGCGACGGCGACGCGAGCGGGCGCGCCGCCCGCCGGGGGGCTGGCGATCACGGCCCAAAGCCCGTCGACCGCGGCGAGGGAGTGGTGCTCGGGGACGGGGTGGTCCACGGGCAAGTTAACCTGTCTCACGGTCGCCGTCCGGATCGGCAGGGGTTTGCCGGCGGTAGAGCCGGAGTCAGGGCTCCAATCTAGCCCCCATCCCTGCTGCTGCTGCTGCGGGCGCGGCTGTTCCTTGTCCTTGTCTCCGGCGGTGGCGGCAGCGGCGGCGGATCCCCCAGGCGCGCCCGCTACTCGTAAGATCTTTACTGCGCACTTGTTGCCCCACGCCCTCGAGACGATCGACATTCGGAGGCGAATAGATGAGCCCCCACCGCCGTCGCCGGGTGGATATAAAGGTGGTATCACGCGGACACCCATCCCGCCCCCGCCACCTCCGCCCCCGCCTCGCCCAACGTCTAGCCACACCGGGGAAAACGCCGGCTGGTCAGCTGTATCCGCTCCGAGGCATACGTACTGCTGTCCCAAGCAACCTGGGGAATTGCTGCTGCTGCTGCTGCTGCTATCTCTGCCATGGCCGTCCACTTTGCCGATGTGATCACAGCTACTCTTGCCGTCCTCTTCCCCTGCCTCTCCTTTCACCGCGTTTTTCGCATCGCCCTCCCCCTCCCCGCCGCCATCACCCACCCCGTCGTCAGGGTGCCCTCGCTCGAGCAGCACGATAAACACGGCACCCGTATGCAAGACCGCGACGAGGTGTCGGGGCAGGCTGGTGTGCGAATGATCCCTATCGCCGGCCGCAGCAGCAGCGGCAGCAGCAGGAGGCCCCGCCGCTGAAGCGGTTTGGTCGGAAGCTTCCCCCGGTCCGGAGCCGCTCCCTGTCCGTTGCGCGCGGGGCGGAGGCGCTCCAGAAGTCCCCGCGAGGTCGGTGACAATGTCCAAGGCGCACACGCGACCCCGCGCCATGGACGGTAGAGGCGGCGCGATGACCCACGCGTCCAGGCCCTCCAAGTCGAGAAAGTGCACCTATGAGGGGTACCACAAAGGATCCACCCGTCATCAAAGGGAAAGACAAGGTGCGTGATTCTTTTTTTTAATTGAACGGCAACGCAGAAGAGTCCACAAGCCCCTACCGCCCGCAGGCCAACAACATAAGGTCAGCATCGCAGCATTCCAAGGGGCACCACGGTTTGTTCGCGCGCCGTGCACGGGTTCCCGCAAACGGCAACGCGGAGACACAACACGGCAAAAATCACTCGGGACCGCCCCTTCCGTACAACCCAATCCATGCTTCTGACGGACGAATAGGTGCAAGGTCGATAAAACGACGGCGTCGCGGACAAACAGGTGTCAAGCCCCTTCCACGAATAAAAGACCCATGATGTTGGACCGCCCACTTGGCTCTTCCAAGCCTTTGTATTCCTAGCCAACCCCCCCTCCCGCTATCCCGCCGCCCTTCGTTTTTTCTGCAGTCATGCCGACAGATCCCCCCACACTCCAAGAAAAAAAACGATTGTTGTAGCAGTCTCACCTCTCCATCGGGGTCGCCGATAACAGCGAAGTGGTTACCGCTGCGCGTGACCCACCACAGGCACTCAAAGGGCGGCGGCGCGGAGGAGGATCTCGGAGAGCCGCCGCCCCGGTGGGGAACTCGACCGCCGGCCCCGGTCGAATGCCTCCTCCCGTCGCCGCCTCGCTCGTCGTCGCTCGGCTGCTGCTGCCCTCGTTGCCCGCCGTCCCCAGCCGCCGCCGCCGCCGCCCCGCCCCGCCGCCCCAGGCTGGCGATGAACACCGGCTCCGCGGAGGGATACCGGGCCTTCGCGCCGCTCGCCCGCTTCCGCTGCTCCCCCCGGCTGGCCAGGTGGACGAGGCTAGGGAACGCGGTGTCCGCCACCGCTCTCCTCGGGGCGTGTCTCGCCGTCGTCGCGGCGGCACCGGCACTGGCACCGGCCATAACGGCAGCCGCCGCCTCCGATGGCGGCCGGGCCGTTGATTGGTTGCCGCCGCCGCCGGATCTTCCGGTTTCGCCGCCGCGCTTTCCGCCAGAGTTGACCCCGTCGTCGCCGCCGGCGCTGTCGTGACTGGTGTTGCCCTCGCCCGTCGTGTTGCCGGCGGTGCCCTTGCCGCCTACGCTGGGGATCCCTGCTGTGGGGGTTGGTCGCGCCTCCTGCTCCTCCCCCAGGTTGTCCACGGCCAAGAGGTAGACCCCCTCCAGACCCTCGGTCGCGCAGAGGACGCACTGCAGGTCCGGGCTGACGCACATACCCCGAATCTGGTCATTTGGTTGTTTTGTGTTTGTCACGGGAGGTGGGGGGCACGAGTGTGCGAGTGATTTTGGCGAGGTGTTGCGCTGCCGCGGTGTGGGCGCGTTTCCTGCGATTGCGACGCCGATGTAGCGGCGGTATTGTGCTTTTTCGCGGAGGAGGACACGTTCGCGTGTAGTAGCCATCGACATGGGATGACAAACGGTTGGAGTCCCGCTACTACGTGGGTGACAGCATGTGATGCCGGTGGCCGCTTCATGTTAACATTCTCCCACGTGCTCGAACTGAAACAAAAATCGGACGGCTTCTTTACATCGCATGTACAATACTGCTGTGTAATCCCAACACCCCAATCCCTCACCGCAGCCGCTCTGTGGTGAATTCACCTGCAGGGAAACACCGGCGTGGCATGCAGGTATGCCTTCGAAAACAAAGACACAATGCCGTACCTTGCAGAGTTCGTAGATCAGGTTTCGAAGGCCTTCAGGCGCGCGTGGGAGGCATGAGCGAAGACATAACCCGACCCGCGAGACACAGCTGCACTTATTGTAACCATTATTGTCACGCCGCAACAACGCAAAATTAAGCAGGCAAAATACTGCTGTGGAGCAAAAAGGAGCCACCTGTGCTACACTAGCAGCGCCACCTAGCACATTCAAGGCCGACTTCGTCTGAGATATCGAAAGACCAAACGTGCAACTATTCTCACCTTGCCCGCAACGGGCCAGTCTAATAGCCAGCTTCGAATACAGTCAGATCCGATGCGCAAGATGAGGAGAGCAGAGTTGGATAGCGACGCCACAAGAAGAGCGTCCGTGCCCAAAGCACCGTGCGCGAAGACTTCGATGCCGACATTCTTCGCCGCCGCCTCCTGCTCCCCGCCGCCCTCGCGGAAAGAGGACGCCGAGAAGCGATTCTGAGGCATGTCGACCAGCAGTGTGCCCACGCACCAGAGAGAAAGAGAGAGAGCGAGGGGGTGGGGGG